AAATCCAGAAAATGTCATAATTTAAATTAATTATACATGCTTTTTGATTATGTCCATCACATTGATTTAGTCCTGAAATATTAAAATGGAAATAAAGGAATGCAGAAAAATTACATTTGGAATTTGGAAAAATAAATAAAACGGAATTTGGAAAAAAAATCAGTTCAAAATTGTCATTCTCATCTCTTTTAATTAGCTGGCTGTAGAGTCCAAGAGTGATTCAAAAATTATACACATGCAAATGCATTCTGTAAATAAGTAATAATAAAACTACACAGAGTACCACAAAATACTGTAAACAGGATCCAGAGTGAATGATACTTTGTCTTTTATTTATTGCAAATAAACTGTATTCGTTTTGCTGTATATTAATTGTCTCACTCTTCTGTTGTACTGAACAACTGGACAGGACTAGAACTAAAGCATCCAAATTTCCCTCCCACTGCCTGTTTCACACTCACTCAGATCCCCATGTGTGGATTCTTCTTATGCTTTACATAGCTTTAAGTAGGAGTCAGAACTTTTCTAATATTTGCATATTAATTGGCTGTCCAGTAAATATGAAAGTGTTTGTACCTGTGCATCTGTGCGTGTCTGTGTGTGCACCTGCACTTTTGCAAGTGTACTTGAATGGATCTTTCCAGTGACCTTATGTGGACTGTTGATGCCAAACAAGGACTATCTGATTAGTTTATCTGTGTCATGCTCTGTACTTGAGACATTAAAGGGCAGGGAATTGATTGAGACAGATAAAGACAAGACAAGAGACAGACAGGAAACATGCTCTTGCAGTTTGATGATAGATGGGAGATGATATGGGTGACACTTTTCAATGGTGTATTTGCTTTTAAAATTACCTAGCATGAAAAATCTTGTTTTAAACATAGCTTTGTTGCTAGAAAATAAGCCACTCAAATTAAACTGTGTTTAGACATGTCCCAAATAATGTCTTAATATAATATTTAGTTTAACCCTCTGATGTTGACAGTCCACATTTTCTAAAGATTAAGCACCTCCTTTCACTGACTAGAGACTGACATATTTGTTTTAATCAGATGGTGTTTATAGACATCAGTAATTTTAAATCTCCCTGGACCTGGTGCCTGTGATTCAGCAGCGGAGACTGCGGTTCCTTGAAGTGTGTGAATTATTTGTACTTCAACTTGCAGCCCACTTAGTTTAACTGACGTCAGGAAATCTGGCATTGTGAGGCAGATTTTCCACTGACTGTCCGTCTGATTTGTATGTTCATAATGCCTGATGATGCATGCATTTAAATAAAAAATGGGGAGGAAAACAATTTCATATTAAGAGACAATTTTAGGACTTCAATGGTGAATACTGCTACTGACTGTTTTTGTCTAATGACTGCTAAACGGTATAATAGATTATTGACCCAGTTTCATGTTGTCTCTTTCTTCTCATGCACTATAGTCATTTCTCTGATCAATATTTCATGTCCATTTATTAAGCAAGTAGCCTGTACACATCAGTTCATACATTCTCATCTTCCTTTAATATTTAATTTAAACATTTTTTTGGACTTAAAACATTATGTGTGTGTGTAAAAAAATTAAAAATACATTTTTAACAATTTTTCATCCATTTAATATATTATATTATATTATATTATATTATATATTATTTTAAGACCCAAAAATGCTAAATAGGTTTTGATATTAACTTGTTTGTTTTCAAAGAAATCATGATCTGATTCAGTCTGATTAAAAAGTTCTGTGAAAAATGTCTGAATCTTTTTTTATTTTTTCTCTGTTCTCATGAAATCTTTGTGTTGAATTATAAATAGGAGAAAAGCCACTGTTTTTTTTAAGAATATAAAACCAGACTTCAACAGACTCACTTAGCACACTTAAGAGTCATACCGAAATCTTATTTCAGTCACTCCAGTGAATCTGCATCTACAAACCAACCTGGAAACTTTCATCTCTGTTTACTTTTTAAAGAAACAGAGAGATTTTTTTCAGAGACAACCCCTTAAATATTCGTAGAGAGAAACGTTCCCACAGTAATTGGAATCCTCAGGAAACAGTCTGAGGTCGCAGATCCACCCTGATTCACTTCTGCTGGGTTTACAGGGGGTCTTTGAAGCACACCACCTGTTAGAGACAGTTCCACCCTTTCCTCTTTTTCACCATGTTATGTAAGCCCTTACAGATGCAATCAGATCCTGGAAATAAAGGGGCTTTTCTCTATATAAATTTGTTCAGTTGTTCTATTTTAATGGAACTTAAACTCTCAATGCATCTTCCCTTTTCTAAATGTAGAATGTCAGGCACTCCAATTTTCCCTAGCACACTTCATAAAAAGCTCTGTGCTATTTTTCTGCAATGACGAGAGATGGCCTGATGGTCTATTACCTCTTGAAAGTGAAAGTATAACCATTGCTTAGTTTGCACCAGCTCCATTTTTGGTCTTCCTGTTCTGTGCGTTGCCGGTTTTAATGAGAAACACAATGAAAGGTTGTTATACTTGTACAGAATTAACACTTGCACATTGAGATTTTCTCAGTTTGTTTTAGCCGTAGTGTACAGCTCCTCACCTGAACAGGAAGCCAGACAAACCATTCATCTCTTTTAACTTCATTATAACTTCCTGTGTTTGCATGCGCGTCTTCTTTCAGCGCTGATATGTCTGCATCCAGTATTTGTGAAAAGCCTAACACTAAATTTACAGGGTGTTTACTGCCAAACCAAGTGGAACATACTGTGATAGGCCCGAATACAAATCATGTCATTTCCTTTTAGAAGCGTAAGTGTTACAATATAGCGAGGTGCTGATATGAGGGTGGAAGGGTGGAAATCCCAGTTGAGATTTCCCAAACGCAACGTATATGACATGAACGAACAGATAGACAGACCGTTTTATATTCCGCCAACGTGTGTTTTTGGGTAAGTGAGGTGACAGAAAGAGTTTTTGCTTTTTGAAGAAAAACATTATCTTGTTCCAAACCTGGATGATTTTCTTTTTTTGTAAAACACAACAAGAAATGTTAGACGGTATGCTTGTGCTGCTCTTTTGCACACAATGAAACTGAATGTGACCAGGGGCTGTCACTCAGCAAAAAATAACAAGAAAGCACCATTAAAAACCATAAAAGCAGTCCATGTGGCTTAAAAGCTATTGTATAATTTCAGAAGACTTGGAAAGTAGTGTATTAGTCATATGAACTACTTTTACAGTGCTTTTGTGGTACTTTTTGTCATTTTTGGAGCTTGAAAGCTCCTGGTCACCATCAGACTTCATTGTATGCAAAAGAACAGTGTGAACATTGTTAAAGATTTAGATGATGATCCAAGATTTAGATTTAGAGTTTGCTTCCTTGTCGAGACAGATTTGTAGAAATTTAGCATTACATCACTTGCCCAACAATGGATCCTCTGAAGTGAATGGGTGCCGTCAGAATGAGAGTCCAAACAGCTGATAAAAACATCACAATAATCCACAAGTACTCCACATGACTCCAGTCCATTAATTTATGTTTTGTGAAGTAAAAAGCTGTTTTTGTAATAAACAAATCCATCATTCAGAGGTTTAAACTGTTGCTTCTGGCCTTTACGAGTAGTGTGTGTTACTTGTGGATTATTGTGATTTTTTTATCAGCTGTTTGGACTCTCATTCTAACGGCACCCATTCACTGCAGAGGATCCATTGGTTAGCAAGTGATGTAATGCTAAATTTCTCCAAATCTGTTCTGATGAAGAAACAAACTCATCTATATCTCAGATGGCCTGAGAGTGAGATCATTTTCAGCAAATTGTCATTTTTGGGTGAACTATTGCTTTAAACTTCTTCTTCTTTTGTGTTCCACTGAAGAAAGAAAATCCTAAAGGTTCAACCATTAAAACGTTTTGATAACATCATTTAGTGCCTTTTTAAATTTGTTTTTCTTGTGGGAAATGCACAGAAAGTCCTTAAAGTGAAGGTTTCAGGTTCAAAACTGACACATTTGTTCACAAAAGGCCATACTGACTGGTTCTCCAACAATGCAGATGAATTATGATAAATTATTTCCCCTTAACATGTCAGGCTGGTTGCATATAAGGTCAAATGTTGGATCAGATCTCTTTGCAAGACGGAATCTAGAAAGACAGGATGAGCATCTTTCTCTTTCTTTCTTTCTTTCAGAGATTGACGGTTCCATGCTCTCTCTGTATTCATTTGATTTCTGCACACATCTTCCCCGGGGCGCTACGAGTTTGAATGCTCAAATTACCCATGTGCTCATCATAGATATGCAAATCTGAATACAGCTGAACATTGTGCATTATAAAAAGGCACATATTTGAGTGTTAATTGGTGATTTTTAACTGTGCTGTATTTGTGCATATATTTGCTTGACCAGGTTTGTGTCTGTTTGCATTAAGCTGATGGCTTTGATGTGTTCATATAAAGAGCTGCTTGGTGGTAATATAGAGCACAAATTATGAATTTCATTCTTTTCGTGTCAGAGGCTGACATTTAAATGTTGATGCACACTGGCCCCTGCTGGTACTAATGTTGCAGTGCTGCTTTTGTCTGCCTTAAAGATGATGAGAATTTAATCATATCTTTCATCTTTAACATTTACAAGCATATTTCATTATATAATACTTGATGGGTATTTTATAATGAAAAATAAATAAGCCTATTTATATGTAAGTGCATATAAATGACCATGTTTCTGGAGTATTTCTTTTTATGTTGTGTTATATATAGGGAACATTATTTTTTACATGGCTTAATTCTGAAAATGGTGAAATTTGGTGGACAAATAATTTTGTATAATGACCGCTAAACTGTATAATTGATTATTGGCCCATATCTGTGGTAGTTTCATGTTGTCTCTTTCTTCTCATGTAATATATTTTCAGCTCTAATCAATATTTCATGTCCATTTATTTAGTAAGTAGCAGTGTAGTTAACAATACTAACTGTCTGATTGTATGCTGTTGTCCCTTACTTAACAAATAATGATTATTTTTCTTGTCTATTCCTCTTAGGTTATGGACACACTGTCCAAACTCTCTCATACACACATTGCACAGCAGACTGGAATAAGGTATTTGAAAAAGACGAAATGAATAATTCTAACTATTTTAAGAGTGCAGCAGATGAAAATTCATATTTTTATCTCTCTCTGCCTCTCTCTCATTCTATTCTAGGGCATTTCCCACAGAAGAGAGTGTTGAGGATGAGGACATTTATAACCATCTAGAGGATCTGATAGAGTGAGTCATTTTTTTTTTTGCTTACAGTGTTTCTCTTCCTCCTGATATTTTAACCTTTGGCTCACTTTACACTCTCTGTTAGATATAGGAACCTCAGGCTGGAGCACATAGGAGTGCTTAGGTTGATGTTTTGCTTAGTGTGTTAACATTTATTAATGCATCGTGAGATGGTGCATCAAAATGTACTAACACTTTAAAAACAGTGTTTATATGATATAATGTTTACAATGTTGAAATCAACTGATTCATAGAATACCATATATATACACACACACACCGAGGGTTATTGTTGCTGTACAACTGTTAAGGTAACAGCCTCAGACGTAAACTGTCAGATTTTGCCTCTGGCCTGTGTCCTCTTGTTCCCACTACTGCCACGTATAGGGTCTCTTATTCCAGCAGACAGGCAACAACAAACACGGTCATAGGATTACAGGACCACAAAGAGCCCTGAGGTGCCACTTGATCTGCTATTTTGTCACACCACAGTCCAGAAGTGTTATACTTTCCTGATCTCTCAATTATGAGTGCACTACATTTCTAGCCACATAAGCCACTCCTACTGTGTGTGTCAGTCAGTGAGTGAATGTCAGTATATGTAGGGAAATAGTAGCTGAATCACACTGTCATATGAGATCACAGTTGCTACACCACCCATAAAAGGAAACTGACCTGAATGTAGAAACACACACCCATAGGAAAGACATTTCAGATCTCTTTAATGTCTCAGTTGTTTCGCCTAAACAGCAGTGAAGTTAAACGGAGATCAAATGGAGATTTTGATCCTCAGGTTATTCTCCTGAAGTTTCATAAGAAATCTCAACAATGTCTCAAACTGTGCTCTAGATATCCTGGCTCAGATTAGCAAAAGTCAGGGATTTCAAAATGAACTCATTTTTCATCATATTCTTACGAGACCAAATTATCCGTGGTTTGCAATTCACATTCGTTTCAAAGCGCTGTTTTAAACGTTGCCCACTATTGTTTCATTTTTTTCTTATATTTCATTTTATTCCAGCTTTATTTTGAAATACCGAAAAAGATTTTTAATAGTTTTAGTTAATGATAACTACACAACTTCTGAGCAATAAAAGCGATTCAGCCGTCGTTTATCAGGCTGTTGAGAAGGCCAACAGTAGCATCAGCACAAATGTCTGTTCTCCTCATATGACATGCTTAAGGATTTGATATTATGCTTAGCAAATATTGATGTTGCTGTCACTATGTTTTGACTCAACCTCATCACATCTATTTCTTAGCCCCACACACACACACACACACACACACACACACATGTTTTTGTGAAAAGTGGGGACATCCCATAGGCGTAATGGTTTTTCTACTGTACAGACCGTATATTCTATTGCCCTACACCAACCCTACCCCTAAACCTACCCCTCACAGGAAACTTTGTGCTATTTCAGATTTTCAATACACTCCATTCTGTGTGATTTATATGCGTTTTGAAAAGTGGGGACATGGGGTAATGTCCTGAAAAGTCACCTTCTCCTTGTAATACCTATGTCATACCCTTGTCATTATACAAATTTATGTCCTCATTTGTCACAAAAACGCGCACCACACAGGGTTGTTTTCCACACATGATGGTTTGTTCAGATGAAATGTGTTTGCTGAGTGTTTTCCCTGGAGGCTGATGTGCCAGTATGATTTTGTCCCTGTCAGAGAGAGACTTTTCCCTGAAGGCGTTTCGTAATAGATTCAAACTAGAGACATGGTTAGGAAAAGAGATCAACACAGTTTGTCTCTCTGTCTTTCTCTTTTGCACCCATCTGGAGAACATATCTGAATGATTTTAAGGCCTGGCTCAGCTAGAATGTCTCTTGGCTCTTGCTGTAGCTGAAAGCCGTGTGTTTAATTTAGAAGAGGGAAACATTATCGTTTTAAAACCCCTCATGAGCAATTTTCTAGAAGAGGTCTTTTTCTCCAGTATATTGGATATGCTGAAGCATTTAAACACATCTTGCTGTCCTCTTAGGAGTTTTTCTGTTTCATCGTCCATCTATTTCTCTCTATTTACTGTAAGCTAACTGTATCTGACTGTAGTCTTTGGTTTGGAACCAAAAATTTATGTACTAAACTAAAACCTTTGGAGAAGCACTAAAAAGCTCTGTGTGTCTCAGTGAGAATGGCGTTGAAGATGAAGAAGATCTCTATGACTGTGTGTACGATGATGATGAGGGAGGAGAGGTGTATGAAGACCTGATGAAGGTTGAGCTGGTACAACCGCAGGTGAGTTTACTGAAATGCTTTACATATAAACATGGTTTGGGTTGCAAGTCATAAAATGTCCTCTGTTTCACTCTCTCTTGCTACTGTAATTACAGAAACAGGCCGAGACGGACATCCGAAGCTGTTGTCTGATGGAAATCAAACAGACTGAGGAGAAATACACAGAGACGCTGGACTCCATAGAGAAAGTGAGGCCTCTTTATAACTGCACAGTCAGTCCTGCTGTAGCTTGAAAGCTTTAATGCATTGTGTGAAATCTGTCAAGTGTCTGCTAGATGTAATGAAACACATCATTTGTATAAAGACCATAACCACAGGTAAAATCATGGATTAATCTTTTTACCATGTTTAGAAGTAACTTACTGTACAATATTTTACCATGACACCATGGCTGCTGGCAAAATAACATAGAAATACCATAGAATATTACCATAGTTACATTTGCCTTCTGATAACCTGTTATAAGCCACCATTATCATCAAATTAAAGAAATTACAATGACAAAAATTCTGAAAACAATGTATGGTTTTGAAAATGATAAAAAAAATCAGCCTAAACACATTTAGAAATTGTAACAATTTATTATTATTATTATTATTAATAATAATAATACATTGTTTGTTTTAAATCTTAGTATGAATATACAACATTTTCATTATAGTTACTATAATAAAACCGTGGTCATTTTCCACAGTGGAGCAAAAAATCATTATATTTTAATATAGCTTTACTGTTGTTGTATTTATTTATTCATTTATTTATAATAATAATAATTTATTTGTTTATTTTAAATCTTAGTAAATCTCAATACATTGTAATACAACATTTCTATTATAATTACTATAATAAAACCAAGGAAAAATTATACAAATATTTATCATATTGCAATATATTAGCTTATCCATAGCAACATCTTAATTTTAATGTTTTTTTTTCTCCATCCACAGTTCTTTATGAAGCCTCTGGGACAGTCACTGTCCAGTGTGGAGATCGAAAAAGTGTTCATCAATATACCAGTGAGTCACAAAACTGCCTCTATCGGAGAACCCATTTTACCATGAATCTGTGTCGATGTCTTTATCGCCTCATATTTTTTATGTTCTGCATTGCACCAGGACCTTGTGAAAGTGCACACGAGTCTTCTGAGGGAAGTCCAGGATTCAGTGCTCATGCATAATGCCAGTAACCTGTATCAGATCTTTATAAAATACAAAGAAAGGTGATTGATTTATCTCTTTAGCTCTTAAAAGAATGAAACCCTTCCCCTTCTCACATGTGTCTGTTTTCCTGTGTGATAGATTAGTCCTGTATGGGAAGTACTGCAGTCAAGTAGAATCAGCCATTGCGTGTTTGGATGACATCTGTAAGAACAGAGAGGACGTCAGGCAGATGTTAGAGGTAAGACATTGTCAGACTGTATTTATTTGCTGTTAGACAGTACCACTTGGTGGTTGAGAAGAGTGCAGAACATTTCAGAACATTTTATTTCAACATTTTGCTCTCTTCATTTATTTGCAGAACAGTCATGTGGCAGTCACATATGTGGTTTTTGTTTGTTATTAATTTCAGTTATTTTCCAAGCGAGCCAATAACGGGAAGTTTACTCTGAGAGATCTGCTGGTGGTTCCGATGCAGAGAGTTCTGAAGTATCATCTGCTTCTACAGGTTTGAAATCATTTTGCTGTATTCCTGCTCATACAACAACATGTTTTACCTGAGCATTTAATTAAGTACTTTAAAGCAGTGTTATTTTAGAACAAGAGATACTATTGTAGTTTTTATCAATATAGTTCTATATCAGTTTTAATTGATTATTTAATTTATAACCAAATAAAATTTTGTTGTGTGTTTTCCCCCTCATTTTTAGTTACTTTAGTACATAAAAATTAAACTAAATTAAGATGTGAAATGTTTCCTTGGCAACTAACTGAAATAAAATAAGTTCAGTTTTTTTAATATGTTATTTTATCTAAGTTAACATCTATTTTATTTCAGATAGTTTTAGATTTAGTTAACTATAATAACCCTTCTTTAGAGACAACATGAAATGCATAATGTGGCAGATTTTAATATGAATATTCAACAGGAAATAATGTAGTAATAGTTTAGAACAGAACTATTCTACACATACATAACATGTTAGGCTATTTAATTTCCTCCTTTACTTCTTCTTCTTCTTAATAATAATAATATTAATAATGATAAACTAATAAACTCTCTCTCTCTCTCTCTCTCTCTATATATATATATATATATATTGTATTTAAATATTTTTGTATGTTCTGGTATAGTTTAAGAATATTTTTTGAATCATATGCACTGATTAATATGCCCTAATCGACTATAAGAAATAGGGTCAAGTCTTCTTTCATATTGGCTTTAAATGACTGTTCTATTGTTAATGTCCACTAGGGGCAGTGGAGTCCATATTTTACTCTTCCACAGAGAAGCAGCATAATACAGGTTTGAAATCCAACAGTAGGGGGCAGTGTAATATATACCCGATTCCTCCAGTAGGGGGCAGTATAATCCACATAATGGAAAAGCAGCATGCTTTATCCAGTCGTGTATGTTTGATCTGGCCATTTTCCACAAACATCTCACGCAGACTGCCATGAATATTTCATAGTGTGTCTCTGTCCATCACACGTTAGGTCTACTGCATGACTCAGCTATGAGGGGATTTAGAAATAAATATGAACGAAGGCGAGAGAGAAATAGAATAGCAGAGAGTAGGAGATGTGCATAGCGTGTGTGAACTGAAGCCACCGCGAACCTTTTGGCTCTCAGCAGAGAGAACAGCGAAGGTGTTTTCTGTGTGTGTGTGTGTGTGTGTGTGCATGCATCTATTTAGAATGCCTGCAAGACTGTCCACAGCTCAGTTCACCTCCCTGCCCATCTGGCCAGCTGTGGGTTTAGGGAATGTGTGTGTGTGTGTGTGTGTGTGAGGCGGGCGCTGCAGATAGAGCGTCTGCCTGTCTGCTGCCCCTCTGGAGAGCAGGCTAGCGTGTGACAGACTGTCTTTCTCTGCTCTTTGCTCTGCTGGAGGAAGCCTTGGCCAGTGAGAGAAAGAGCAAACCAGCTTTACATAATGAGTTATAATCAAAATTCATAACTAATCTATTATGACAGATTCTAATATTTATATATTTAAATTAAATAATCTTAAATAATTATTCTTAATTTTATGCAAAATGATTATTTATTTATTTGCTTATTTATTTTTACATTTGTAATTTGGGGGGGGGGATAAGAAATTAATACTCTTATTCAACTTTTACATTTGCAAATAAATTTATTTCAAATAAATGCTCTTCTTTGCACTTTCTATTCAACAATTTCCGGAAAAAAAATGTATAATAGTTTCCACAAAAATATTAAGCATCACAACTGTTTTCAACATTGATAATAATGAAAAATGTTTCCTGAGCCAGAATTTCTGAAGGAAATCATTTTGAAGTAGCTTTTATTTTTTTGCCATTTTCTTTTTTCATTTCATATTTAAATTTTTAGTAATTTTGTTATGCACTTTTGTCATTTTTATTAGCTTTTGCTTTTCAAAAATATGTTGAATTTATTTTTATTGTAGTTTTAGTTTTTAGTTATTTCCAGTTCCAATTTTAGTGCCTCAACTTAAACTTTTTTCAGTAAGTTGACAAGGCAACATTTCTAATTAACATTTAGTTTAAGTTTAGAATGTTTATATTCAATTTTATTTTAGTTTAATTTTAATGAACAACAGTGTTTTTAATAGGTTACAGTGATAACCATGAAAGGTTCACGTGACACTGAAGAGTGGAGTAATGGCTGCTGAAAATTCAGCTTTGTTATCACATATTAAACAGTTATTTTAAATTGTAATAATATTTCACTATATTACTGTTTTAGCTGTTTTTTTTTAATCAAATAAATGCCTTGGTGACCATGAGACTTCTTCCAAAAGCCTTAAAACAATTTTACCGACTCCAAACTTTTGAATGATAGTATATGCCCAGATTTTGAAAATCATATTTTTTACTGTAACCGTACTAAGAAGGGGTTGTCAAAGTAATGGTTGTAAATCAGGATGTAAAAGTTACAGACATAAGAAGTGATGCATTTTATGAGCTAAGGCAATAAATATCAGTTTAAAGTGGTAATATTGTATGACAGCAACAAAGCAACCAGAAGTTGGTGAAGAGCAACTGTGATGCAACAAATCTTGAGCAGAGTTTGAACAATTGGGTAGTTATTGGACATAAAAAGGTACAAAGTGGACCAGACATTACAATCCTGCGATGCTGGCCTGCAAAATCGCATTGAATGATATTCTCCTGGAATTCTGCAAACGTTTGGATAAGAGATTGGCTGCATTTTATTTCTGCAGTAATCTCTGTGTTAGTGTCATACCTCCTTTCTCTCTCTCTATCTCTCTCTCTCTCTCGCTGTGTGAGGGCAGAAGGAAGTGAGAATGAAAAATAAGGTGATGTCCGTCTTTCTGCTGATAATAATGCGCAGGTTCAGCTTGACTGACGCAGGGGATTTGGCTTGTGCTGGATGGCAATATATCTCTTAGGCCAAAAGGAAGCCATTTATCAGACCCGAGTAAAGGACATTCATAGCACCCTGCCTTATCCTACAGACTGGCCCAGATGTCTTGTTTACTTCATCCCGGAGCAGGAAGGCAATTTCAACCCCACAAAAACCTTTTGCTTCTCATTTCAATTCTTGAACCTGCGATGCAGGTTGGGATATTATTTCAGATTGTGTGTGTGTGTGTGTGTGTGTGTGTGTGTGTGTGGCCAAAAGAGAAAGATAGGAAGACATGCCACTCTGTGTATGTTTATATTTTCATTGTATTCTAATGCTTGCCCCATTATCACTTTTATTTTATTTTATTTGATTGTTTTAGCCTTAGTCTCCTGTTTTTTTGTAGCAGAAATGGATGAATATACATGTAAAATCAATTAAAATTAGTTTTATGTAACCTGTGAAGTAACTTATTACAGGTTTATTAAACTTTATTAACACACAATCCTGCTCAACTAATATTAAATATAGGAAATCCCATAAAAACATTTCCTCCTGGGTTCAATTCCTTGGTTAGTACATTTATTAATTTCATTTTAATTCATTAAATGTAATTTTAAACATTAGTGTATATTTTTGCTATCAACTATAATTGCAATTTTATGCCAGGGAATGTATAATAGGAGTGTTTTGGAGGAATAATTTTTGTGATTTAGTTTTGAAGGTTTATGTACTGCTCATGTAGCAAATATTTAAGTGATAAAAAAAAATGCCAGGGCAATAATTTAGCTATTTTTGTTTTTCAAATCATATGCAAACAAATGATAAAAATTAAGACAACATTTTTTTATTTTATTTTAAGACAAATTATCACCCTGATATAACGCAATTACTTGTGCTATCTGAATTCAAAACACTAGAGCATGACGTTACATTTCAGATGACTTCTATGTAAATTTTCTCTCTGAATTGTTGGTAAACAATCTGCACGGTGATGAGTAGGAGTTATGAGAGCGTGCGAGAGTGACAGATGTCCTCCAGCATGGCTTCGCTCCTGTGCATCTGACTGTCTGCTGTGTTCATCATCATCTGGTGATAATAAGACACTGAGACACGGGCCGTGAATACTCAGCCATCTCATATCCCGCTTTCTTCCTGACAGGAACTGGTGAAACACACCCATGATGCCACAGACAAGAGTAATTTACGGCAAGCGCTGGACGCCATGAAGGTGAGTTGACTGTTTTGAATGTCCATTTCATAAGCTGTATGTTGCAGGGACTTCTGGGTAGTGGTCCACTGAGAAGTCTGGACCAGTGTGAGCGCTCATATGAACCATAAAATGACACATTGAGCCTTTTACAGTCTTCGCCTGACACCTAGACCTTGCTTTCTGCTCTCATACACACATTTAGCTCCCCATTATTGTATAATTTATACCAGAATTACCCAGATTTTTTATATGAAATCAAACTAGATTGAGGGACATTGTCCAAAATGAAATGTTGCATTATATCCAACTATATTACAATAAAATTATGTTTTAACATTTCTTTTTGTTTGGTTTTTGCACTGAAATGTAAAAATATATCATTTGTAACTTAAATATAATTTAACAATTATATATATATATATATATATTTCAATTATTTTAAAATTATTTTTTTTAAATTTTATGTCGTTTTTTAACATTTCAGTGCAAAAATAAAACAAAAATAAATGTTAAAACCAAAAAAATAAATGAGAAATTAAGATATGCTTCCCCTATTTTTTCCTTCGTCTCGTGGCAGGCCATGGTGGGCCAAATCAAAGGTCATCACAGGCCTTTTAATCACCAATCTTGATTGATATTAGAGGCCTTGTTCAATTTGAAATTACAACAGTGACGAATTTATTTCACTTTTAGTTTGTTTGGGATGTGCATGCATCAACTTTTTCGTATGACATGATCAAGATGGTGCCGAATGCATCTTGACAGGTAACCAACCGTCTGCTAATTGAGGCAAATCAAGCTGAGAAGATTGTGCAGATTGCACCGAGGGCTGTGATGATTTCATTTGGATAAATTTGCCACTTAGCATTGATTGGGGTATCGGGCTAACGCGGTTAACCTCCTCAAGTGCTCCCCTGTATTCAATTTCAAACATTTTTAATAACTGTGACCCCGGACCACAAAACCAGTCTTAAGTGTCAATTTTTCAAAATTGAGATGGGGTATCGGGCTAACGCGGTTAACCTCCTCAAGTGCTCCCCTTTAAAGATCCTCGCGGTGGGCGATCCAGCCCCCCACTCCCTGATTATTCTAGATACGCGATGATGAACGAGTCGCTAAACTCCACTCACAGGAAAGGCGGGCACTGTGTTCGGAATGAGATTTGTCAAATAAGCCTCGCTTTTCAGATGCTAAATCTTATTTTACATTTTTAGACGGAATTGAGTCCCTTGAAAACATCACATGGGCCGACATTGTCAGCTAGGGAGGAAGTATTGTTATTTTTAGCGCACAAATAGAAAGACTTCCTTATGTATCCTCAGGTCAAAGTCTCAGCGTGTTAAATGTTATGGTGTTTTGTTTGTGTTTCCATCTCTACAGGATCTGGCTCAGTATGTCAACGAGGTGAAGAGAGACATCGAGACTCTACGAGACATCGACCAGTACCAGAAATCTATAGAAAACCTTGTGAGCAAAATCACACGTTTTATATAGACTACTATTTAAAAAGCAGTTTTGGGGAAGCTACTGTAGTCAAACTACACTTTTAAAAAAGTATATAGCTACATTACATAAAAGACACAAGTCTTTGCAGACGAAGATCCCTCATTGCACTGGAATTGTTTTAAGTCTTAAATTGTTTTATTTGCCCTAAATAAGTAAGTAAATTCATTTAATTTTACAAAATCAATTCAGATTCCGTTTTAGAGGTTTTTATCAAAGATTGATTTTAAGAACCTTAAGTTTTAATCTCTTTAAAAATTAGATAACTATTTCACACTGTGATGTTGTCCAAATTGTTTAGTATTACACATAAATTGTTTCAAATGTATTTATTTACAATTTATAATTTATTGATCATTTATAATGCAATATATATCTTATTATATGATTTATTATTATATAAAATGATCAATTATATATTTTTGTAAGAATTATATATTTTATTATTAATTATAAATGATAAATTGTAAATTAATAAATACATTATATATATTAATAAACTATAAATTGTGCTATATACAATTTGTATGACTTTTTTAAACATCTAATAAAACAATACAAAAAAAAATGGAATTTGTTTAAATATTTTAGTATTTAACAAAATACATATTTCTACAAACAAAGCATTGTCAAGATCATTAAAATGAATTAGTGAATCGTTAGCCATAACATGAATCACACTTCACAGTGCAACTTGAAAGAGAAGTTTTTAGGAAAGTGGATTTGATTATTTCTTCAGCTCGCTCTGTTAAAAGACTGTGCGTTCCTTTTTATGCTACACTTGCTGGAAAAAAAAATGCTACTGCATGTTCCTGGAAAAGCTGAACTATTTTAAAAACGCCCAAGATAGTGTCAGACTACTGAAAAATGCACTGATTTGCATGCCTACTTTTAGTTAGTTTTTCCCAACACTGCTAAAAGAAGTTAAGCAGTGACAGTATGAAGCTTTGAACAGTTTTGTGGAGAAACAAACACCTAACTCTAGAGCATCGACCCCTAGTAGCTTACAAGCATGTTTGCATTGAGTTTGCACCATTTTTGTGTTCTGCAGAATCAGTCTCTCCGTAACTATGGGAGACCAAAAGGTGACAGCGAAGTGCGAGTAGCTTCAGTCGACAAACGAGCCAAACAAGACAGGTGAGATGATTAAAATGTGGAATACGGCTCAGCCTGAAACTCCGCAGGTCTTTACTAAGGCCTAAGGGTTATGAAGGTGTCACCCTCAAGCACTCCTCTTGTGTTTTCTCTTTCTCTTTTGATCTATGCTGATCCTCTGATGCAGGCACATCTTCCTGTTTGATGCCGCCGTGATCGTATGCAAACGACGAGGAGATAACTACGAGATGAAGGAGGTGATTGACCTCCACTCCTTCAAGATCACCAACAACCCTACCTCAGAAAGAGAAAACCGAAAGGTGCGCAGCCAGTCTCCTAATTGCCGCCAAAGTTCGCTGCACCGAAGCCGAGGGCAGCAAATGTGCTGTTATGCTGTCGTGCCATAATCAGTTACTGCAGTAGAGCAGCTTTCGTTCGCACAGATGGTGTTTCCTATTAAAAACTGTCCAGCGACTGCTAACGAACGCAGCCGACACCAGACACAGCTAAATTAGAAAACATGATGTCGTTTGTTATATTACGTTACGTGCTGCTGTGCCAGGATGATTATTCGTTAGGTAATGCTGTAAATATTGCATGTACAAGATAGAGAGCGTGTGTGCAAGAAAGAGTTTTATTGAGAAATTATGCTGGTAAACATATGCAACGTAAACATCACTATTATTATTAGGGTTACTCTAGGGTACTTTTGTGAATGATGATGCCTCAAATTGTCCGACTTGTTGAGGGAAGGTGTTCTTGTTCATTTAAGCGATCAGAGTCCTGGCTAATAATAATATGAGTGAAAAAATCCCAAATTTGTAAGTATTTGCTTTTTATTATATTACAAAAAAAAAAAACAGATACTGCGTTCTTGTGATCACCTCACATGATCTACTCAGCAATTTATTATTATTTTTTTTTAAGTTGGAACATATCTCTCATTTCTCTCATTTCAAGGATGCATTAATTTGATTAGATGTGACAGTAAAACGATTTATAATGTTGCAAATAATTTCTAATTCAAATGCTATTCTTTTGAATGTTCCATTCATCAAAGAATCTTAAAAAAATATTAAGCAGCAAAACTGTTTTTAACATTGATAATAAATAATGTTTTTTGAGCAGCATATTAGAATGATTTCTGAAGGATCATGTGACACTGAAGACTGAATGATGCTGAAAATTCAGCTTTGCCATCACACGAATAAATTACATTTTAAAATATTTTAAAATAGAAAGAGTTATTTTAAGTTTTAAGAATATTTTGCAATATTACTTTATTTACTGTATTGTTTATCAAATAAATGCACTCTTGGTAAACATAATCGAGTTGAAAAATATGAAAAAAGGGACCTAAAATTTTGAACGGTAGTGTTCATAATATTCGCATACAAAAAGCATGTTAATGCCAGGCCATAGAGACGTTCAAAATCTCATTTTTCCAGCAAATCCCTTGCTGTTCATTAATCGAATACTTTCAGACAGACAGGCCTTGAGTCCAGATGCGTAACAGCTTATTGAGCTGCATTCTCTATGCTTTTGTTCACATTGCACACAAAAAAAGATGTTTGTTTTTCAAATCCGACTGTCCACACTGTCATTTCTTTCGAGTGATGAAATCTGATCCACTTGTTCAGTGAAGTCAATATCTACATCAGTTGCAATATGATGTAAACGTCAACACAATGCCAACAGACGATAACAGGATGACCCTGCTAGATTTGATAATAACATTTCGTCAGTCTTGCATAAACAATAGTGACCCCCTCAAAGAGCTTTGTACTCTCATCCTTGTTAGAGCGTCTTCAAACGGCTTTAAGACGGTGTTTGTCTTCGCTTTATCTGTGCATGTTTGTGTTTTGCATTTATAAAATGGATGTTCTTGCCTTCTCTTTCTCTTCCAGTGGTATCACGGATTCTACCTCACACACAATCAGGGTCAAAACGGCTTTGAGTTCTTCTTTAAAACCAAGGAACTCAAGAAGAAATGGCTGGAGCAGTTTGGCATGGCATTGTGAGTGTGTCTTTTGTTGTCTCTGAAGCTCTGCACTGTACTGTCTTGTTTTTCAGGTTTGTTATTTGTCTTGACAACAGACACAAAAGCATGATTTAGCTGCGACTATATGCCCTGGCCCTGATTCAAGACTAAAACACCATTAGTGTTTATTTTTTACTACAGAACAAACACAGTAATGAGGACAGACTTGCTTAGCCAAGCATTTTTGCAGCAGCGTACCTTATAAAACATAATGTGACCCAAAGAGTTTTCATTCCATCAGAGTGGTTGGTTCAGTTTTGCAGATAAGACTAGTATATACCAAGTCTTTTTCTTTTAGTTAGTTTGGTTGTTTTAAAAAATATATATCCGGCACTTTTGCAGCAGGTATTTATATCCTTAAAGTCCACTTATAATGTTTCTTGCACCAAAACCTGTTGTAATTTAGTGTTGTATGACCATTTTTTCACCCTCTCTCTGCTCTTTACAGGGATAGCTCACTGAAAATTTTAATTCATGACCCGCATGTTGTTCCAAACCTGTATGGCTTTCTTTCTTCAGTGGAACACAAATAAAGAATGATTGTGTTTCCACTTGCAGTTAAATTGAATAGGGACAGGAGCTTTCAAGCTTAAAAAAAATTGCACAGTATAAGTATAATAATAAAAGTGTCCCATACGACTTGTGCACTATATTTCACATCTTAAAAAGCCATATGATTGCTTTGTGTGACAAACAGACTCCAATTTCAATAAAAAAGGTGTTATTCATTGATAATCTTTGCCTTAAGAACTCAGTAATCACTGGGACTGGATCATTGAGTCAGTGAGTTTAACCTGATCAATCTGCTTTCTGAACGAATCTTTCAGTTTGTAAACTGTATCAACTGAGTCCTAACTGTATCAACTGTCACAAATTGGAAATACAGAGTCACTTAAAGCTATCATATGACTTCAGAAGACTTGGAATCTAGCATATGGACCACTTTTATGTTCATTTTATGGTACTTGAATTCTTTTTGATGCTTTATTTATTGTAGTTGTATGGAAAATAGTGACCAGTTTATTATTCAAAATTTGCATGGGTCTGAAACAACATGAGGATGAGCAAATAATTGAACAGTTGTCATTTATTTGGGTGAACTGTTCCTTTAAACAAGCTATTTGTGTTCAAATACCATGCTTTAAACATTTCTACATGTTAAAAATGGAAAAAAATGGGTGGTTTCTGATGTCATGTTGCACATTAGAATATATCTACATGGTGTATCAAATTCTTTTATTTCAAAAGTGCAAAAGAAATCCTGTTTTCTATGATATTTCCCTTTTAATTTATACACATCCAGAGGCTTTTTATCTTCCTTCACTTTAATTTGATTCCATTTACTATTCTTAGGAGAGTCAGATTCAAGTAAATCTTTGTATTATGAAATACTAGGCAATAAGTGATCCCACTGCGTACCTATGAGAAAAAAAGAGAGAAAGAGAGTGAGAAAATATATTTATAATTCCTGGCTGTTGACAGCAACAATCAGTAAAATTCAGATGAAAACTGCAATAAACCATCAGTCAAGTAATCTACCAAATTTCAGATGTCATGCATATCCAAAAAGGGCACATCCACGAAAAAAACGCTTGGGATAAGGCAAGAGAGAAAAAAACTGTAATGCACCAAATACGGGAGACAGGGCTCTGATTAATTAGATAACATGTTTTTAACAGATTTATCTGAAGGGCTCATTAATTCTGGAGAACAGTGGTGAGTCAGTGCGCACTTTCTCTCTGTCATGTGTCATCAGATCAGTCTGCGGCTGAAAGCTGATTGGATATCAGTGCTGTTACCGAGCGCTAATGACATGACATCAGCACGCACAGACAGCTCTCTCATCTGTCCACGCCTTTATTATAAGGGCACTCACCACTCAAGGGTTATTCGAGATGGATCGAGACGGAAAAACAGAAAGGGGGTGGAGGGTTTTGGATTATAAAACAGTAATAGTTCCATAGACGGCATTATGATTCCTGTCCAGCTGATGCTGTAATTAGTAGTGCACACTAAAACAGCATCACTATTGCTTTCTATGTTAAATGATTTAAAAATGTAATTTATTCCTGTGATGCAAAGCTGATTTTTCAGCAGCCATTACTCCTTGAGTCTGTAGTTTAAAATAGACTTGTCTTCAGTAACAATTTATAAATCAATTTATTTAATTATTACTACATAATATAATATAATAAAACAAAACATTAGTTTGAATATATTTCGAAATGTCATTTTAAATATGTTTTATAGTATGTGCAGTACATTCAGAGATTCAAGTAGCATCCTAGCTTTGTGGCATTGAAATTTAACATGGTCGCAACTTTTTTTTTCTTCAGAAAATGCAAATATCTAGTTACCCTTATGTGTCTTAAGAGAAATTCACAGCTGCTTGGATGGTGGGAGCAGGCGACAGATGGAAACGAGCAGTTCTGTGTTCATGAGTTATGGTTATGCAAAAAGGACTTGTTTTTAACACCCACTTTCTCTCTCTCTTTCTGTCTCAACAGATCGAACATCTGTCCAGAGAGCGGGAAAAGTAATTTCCATGAGTTCCGCATGCACACTTTTGAGACGACCACATCCTGCAGCTCGTGTGAAATGCTGCTGAGGTGAGCTCACCATAGAGGCTTTGTGAAATGACACAGACTACACATTAATGCACCTTAATGAGATCGATTATGCACCTAGAGAAAGTGAGAGAGGGAAAGAGAGTGACAGAGGTAAATCAAGTGTATGTATCATCATCACTTCAGTGATTTCAGAATTGATGGATGCCTATATGGTCCAATCATAGTAGAGTATGTGGGTGTGGCTAAAAACTTGTAGATCGTTCCTGAATAGTTGTGTAATGAAAAATGTATCTATCTATCTATCTATCTATCTATCTATCTGTATGTCTGTCTGTCTGTCTGTCTGTCTGTCGCTCTATCGTTCTGTCATACTGTCTATTGTTCCATCATTCTATTTATTGTTCTATATATCTATCCATATATTGTTTCATCTATCCATTATTCTGTTTATTGTTCATTTTCTCAGAGGAGTCTTCTATCAAGGGTACCGCTGCTCCAAATGTGGTGCTGGCGCCCATAAGGAGTGTCTTGGTAGGGTGGACGTCTGTGTCAAAAGCAGTGCCGGTGAGCCCCGCATTCAACACAACATACTCTTTCTAGCAATTTCTGTGCATGCACATTATGAAGCCTCTATTTGCAGAGCTGCGCTGGAGCCTCTGGCTCATGTTTCAGCGTTATGTCATGGCTTACCTTGGTGTACGCTAATGATCGACCTACACTGTAGTGTAACAGACGGGGTAATAAAAGCTGTCAACACGCAGAGATTCCTAATAACAACCTAGGCCACATAGAAAAGTGTGACGTGTGATGACAAACAGACAAACAGGCTTGGTTGGCTTTTTGAACCCATGATGTATGTATGTGTGTGTGTGTGCGCCTGCCAACAGTGCCAGCTCTTATTGTTCTAGGCATTAGTCAGGGCTGCCGCAGAATTTCCTTGTTCTCATTTTTATGCACAGCTGAGCTCTCTCTAAACTCCCATCAGTTCTGCACATCCCATGTCCCATTAGGTAATTTGATTGTGCTTTCAACTAGCAATAAGAGTGTAGCATTATTTAATACATTCATACAATTCATTAGGCAGAATTCTACAGTTTTCAACCGCCAAAAATATGCAAAAAAAAAAAAGGATTCTGGGATATGGAAAGTCAAATGTATTTTGTAGATTCATGATGACAAAATAAAAGCGATCAGATTATTAGAAATTAATTAGATTTTTTGCCTTTACTGGATGTATAATTTTGGAAAATTTATTTTATTTTAATATTTTGTTCATGATTGGTTGCATGTTTAATTACATTTTTCACCATGCAAGCAAGTATGACGTAATGTATTTAAATACATATTTCAAAACTAAATTATTGCAAAAAAAAAGAGAAAAAAAATAAAGCCCTGTCAGTTTTTAATATATTGTTTTTAATATTGTAATATTTTAATTTCAGATCAGATCAGAAATATATTCTTATGTGTGCATATATATACACTCACTGGCCACTTTATTAGGTACACCTTGCTAGTACCGGGTTGGACCCCCTTTTGCCTTCAAAACTGCCTTAATTCTTCGTGGCATAGATTCAACAAGGTGTTGGAAACATTCCTCAGAGATTTTGGTCCATGTTGACATTAATTTCAGATCAGATCAGAAATATATTTTTATGTGTGCATATATATATATATATACTGCATATACATTTTTACAATAATACAACTTAAATACAAATGAGAATGTTGATTTATTTTCACTGGAAATTTCCAGAAACTGAAAATGAAGGATGTGTGAAAAGCTACATGCCGAGGGTGTGTGTTTGTCAAGTCTGGCCTCTTTGTTGTTTTGTACACAAGATTCCACTCTGTGTGTATATGTGCACGTCTGTGTCTATGTCTGTGTGTGTGTGTGTTTGTAACTAGCCCTAGAGGTGTACACTAGTGCAACAGGACAAAGTTCACTGTACACTCCAAGTACAGGCCCGGCCTCTCCCTCAGGAGCCAATGAGACTGGCTCCTGGTGCATAACTCCATGTAGTCCGGCCCCTCATGTCAATTTAGCTCGCACAGCTGTCAGGTACCTGCAACATAGCAAAACAAATCGTAAAGGTTCACAGCATAACATGTTCCACACACTCTAATGACAGCGTCTGTACATTGTGTTCGTCTGAAAGTGTAGATTGACTCTAACCATGCCTGTCTTCAACATGCTTGCAGATTCCAGCTCTTTCGGATCTCAGGTGAGGTTTTTGTTCCTTTTCCAGTGAATCTGTGAATCTAGCTCTGCCCTTCAGGGTCTCATTTACTCCTATTGATTACCATTTGAAATTAGTACTATAGAAAATTCTCTTACAATGCATTTTAAAGTTGCTGCAACATTATTCATGGAATTGTTATTGAAGAAATATTACTTTATTAAAGCTTGATGCACTATTTATGGGGAAACATTATGAGATTGTTTCTAACCCAGTGTTCATGCAGTTTAGAGTGATATATACATTATGGATTGTGCATTTATTTAATTGCACACCAGTTTTATTAATTGCATGGTCATCATTTTGCAATAACAAACCCAACGTAATTTATATAGCATGTAATAAGGATATTGACATGCAATTTGCCCAGAGTGCAGTTCAACACTGATGGTAAATTGCATGGAGGAAATTCTCTATCTTTGTAGAAATGTTACAGGATGAACGTGTTTTTGTGCAGTGGTGTGACAAACAGTGTTTACTTGTCAAAAATTAATGATGAGATTAATTGTGTGTTTGCACAACGTTTTACTTGATCATCAAATCATTAATGCATTGCAATGTCTGTGTTTGGCAACAGTATGAATCATGTGATTTATTTACTTTGATTACAGATTGGAAAAACACCCTGTCATGGAGGAGACGCAGGTAAATAGTGAGCACACACAATCAGTCACATTTTGCATTCTAAAAAAGGAGAGCTCACCCAAACATGACAATTATGCAATTATTTATTCACCCTCATGTTGTTACAAACCAGCTTGCTGTTATTTTTGTCAGTGGATCACAAAAGGATGATTTTGAAGCTATTTTCAATAAAAGATGCAACCTTTTACTAAAAGCGATTAGGTTTGGAATGACATGAAGGTGATAATATAATGACTGAATTCTCATTTTTGAGTGAATTGTTCCTGTAATTCACAGTCTGGCATGTGCTGCATTGAAATGGGTATTTTCGTCATTGCTATGGCTGTGGGGTTTTCATCATGCTTACAAAACATGCATAGTCTTGTACATTACATACTTCCTCAATCTGTGCTAGATTGTGTATTTTTAGTCTGGAGTCATTGAGCCGTAGTGTTGTTGTTTGCTGTTAAGGCAAGCTCATGCACGTAACCAGGTCTTAGTGTCAGATATGAGCGGGAAAAGTTTTAACCACTGTAGCTCTATTGTTTAGCTTTGCTTGCATAGATAGGCCCTTACTAGACAATCCAGTCTATATTTCCCACAACCCCTTAGTCCAAAATACTTAACCCACTTCATCCAGTGTAGATTCACGAAATTTAATCGTATTATGTGTGTCTTAAGCTGTGGAGAGCTTCTTCAGTTCAAAATCGTGAGCTTCCCTGACCTTCAGTTTAAACTATTAGCATAGGCAGTACACACACACACAGACATATATATATATATATATATATATATATATGTCCTGAAACTCCGCTCATTGTTTTTGCACGGCACTCTTTACAGAAATGCAAGACTTCCACCACCTCAATCTCCATCTCCATGCTCAATCTCCATCAGCACTAGTGTTCAGCAGCAGTCGTTCCACCCATCAGTCTGTCATTAAGAGGGCCACATTATCTGTAATGTGTTTTCACTGCGCCATTGATAGGTTGATCAATACCTGTGAGGTCTACCTGGGTTACAGGTTCCGCGAGAGGCCTCCCGATCCCGCACAATATTGGGGTCGTAGATTCATTAACGTTATGGTGAGAGAAGGTCTTTGTGTAGTGTTTGCTGTCATGGGAATCTCTGCTTTTGAATTTAAGTAGTTCCTTCCTGCCTGTTCAGCACCGCTAGATTTGTCTTCATCAAAAACAGCCTTACTGCAAAACAACATTTGTTAATTTCAGCTGAATTGTTTTATTTCATGTGCAATCTTTGTGCATGAATGATACCTCAAATAGTGTTCCTTTTTGATGAGAGGTGTGTTAAAGTGAGCTCTTTTGTTCTGTAAACTCTAAAACATGCTGTTTTGTTATCTTTTAGCACATTTAGGAGACCTTTTCATGAGCTATTCTGATGCAGAAATGCATTTTCGTGTTTATTGGTGCTGACTCTTTGCCCTTGTGCACAAAGGTTCTTAGCATAGCATGCCAGCACGACGCTTCCCTACAGAGAAGCACACGCTCACACTGTTTTAAAAGCGTCTTCAAAGACAGCCAGCTTTGCTTGGAGGCCCAAGGCCTGGGTGATCTGCTGGGCTGGAAGGCTTCAGCCACAGCTGGTTGCGTTAAGAGAGTCTACACTCGCCTCTCATCATCAGAACGGCAGAATATATCGAGCTGCAGCAACCAGCTGAGACCATCACTATTGACCCTTCAGCAAAGCAGCCCCGCGCACACAAACACACTCATTCATAGCTCACTGGAGCGTCTGAACGACTGTCCACTCGGCACAGTTCTGCCCGCGGCACCAGACCTGTTGTGTCTAATTACTTGAATGGAAAAGAAAAATGTCTTAATACTAATTAGAGTAATAGCCAGACAGAACAGCTGACGTTTGTGGTCAGCTGGTCTTCGTAACTCTGGGGGGGGAATTTGCCAAGAATGAATTGTGTCTCCTGAGGCATGGTTTATTTTAGATTTTGCTTTAGTATCCGATTCACTAAAACGATGAAGGAATAGTGAAAAAGGCCAGCTACAGTTTTGAAGGTGGTAAAGGATGCAACAGACTGCCTATGAATATTACAGACTTTTTATTTATTTATTTTTTTAATGAGCTTTTGTTTGTATGTTTTCTTTTTTCAATTTTTTAGTTTTACAAATTTTGTAATGTGCTTTTTTGTAATTTTTATTAGTTTTTTATATATCTATGTACTTCATTTTTTTCCGGTTTTGCTTTAGTCATTTTAGTACTTAGAACTTTCAGTTTTTAGTATTTGATTCACTAAAACTTACATGAAATTGCGTAAAAAGGCCAGCTACACTTTTGAATGCTGGTTTGTGGAGGATGCAGCAGATGACTTGTTAATATTACAGACTTTTTATTAATAATTTGAATTAGCTTTTATTTTTATTATTTTTATTGTGCTCTGCTAGTTTTTACTTTTTTAATATTTCTATTTAACTTTCATTGATATTTCTTTCAGTTTTACTTTAGTAATTTTAGTTCTTCAGCTTGAACTTATTCTTTACATGACTTACATAACTTACTTGAACTTATTTTCAGTTTTATTTTAATTTTAGTTTACATTTGATTAATTTTGTGCTTTTGTCATTTCTATTATATTTCTATTATATTATATTTTTTATATATTTCTATTTAGCTTCAATTTATAATTTGTTGTTTTATTTTAGTAATCTTAGTACTTAAACTTATTTTATTTCTTTAAAACTTATTTTATATGCTATTTTATTCACTAAAATGATCAAGGAATAGCGTAAACAAGGCTGGCTGTGATTTTAAATGCGAGGTTGTGGAGGATGCAGCAGATTGTCTGCATCAATGCACTGCATGCATGACTGCACGAACTCTCGAGACAAAACGAGCTTGCTGACGTTTTTATGATGGATTGACGTGATTCTGCTGTCACCTGTGGTGATTTACGATCACAGCGTCACGTACATAAACCTGTTCTTTATGTGGCAGAGTGTCAAAACATGCAGTAATGACACTCTGTCAAAGTTCAGTACACATGTTAGTGATATAGTTGAACACACACACACACACACATATATATATATTATTTTAACAATTTTTTTTTTTTAGGTCTACCTAAGATGCAAGTCATCCGTAATTATTACGGGGTTCCGAGCCCCCTGTGCAGCCCACCGCTTAACATACAGGTTGGTGACATCATTGAGGTGATAGAGGCAAACGTCCGTAGCTGTTGGTGGAAGGTGAGACAGTTTTACATCTTAAACTCGCTCCTCATAAACATTTCAAGTCATACAGCCCTGCAGTTTGATTAATTTTGTGCTTGTCTCATTTCTATTATATTTCTATTATATTATATTTTTTATATATTTCTATTTAGCTTCAATTTATAATTTGTTGTTTTATTTTAGTAATCTTAGTACTTAAACTTATTTTATTTCTTTAAAACTTATTTTATATGCTATTTTATAGCATATATTTTATGCTTATTTTATATGCATAAAATAATTTTGTTTTCTATTTTACTTATTTTATATGCTAGATATAAACATATATATATATAGACCAGCACAACGCCCAGAGAGCAGACACGCGCTTGACGACAGATTTTATTTGTCATGTTGTCATTTGATAGGTGTTGGTGCACATGCAGTGCTCTGACATGAGCCCCACAAAAGAAAATCACTTAAATAGATTCAGATTAATGATTAACTCTTTCTCGGAGTACAATGCTAATCACTTTCCTGTAAACCTCAGCATATATAAGTGTCTTTTTGTCTCAATGTGTTCCTAAACATAGCAGAAATATTCATTTAGTTTACAGTCTTTCACTGCCTGGAAAACTAATCAAAATTATATATATATATAATTTTTTTTTGTTGTTTGTTTTTTTGTTTTTTTTGGCTCGATCAGTTGCTCTCGACAGTGAAAAAGTGAAAGTGACTAGCATGCAGCAGATAGTTATTTGTGGCTGTGGCATAACTAAATCAAAGTATAAACCAGTATTTATTAACATTTTGAATTAGCTTTTATTTTTATATTTTGAGTTTTAATTTTAGTTTTAGTCATTTTGTTCAAAACACTCTGAATGTGAACTCCTGTGATAAAAAAAGACTAGTGAGTCTCCAGTGTCACATAGATTTTCAAAATAATAATAATAATAATAATAATAAATAAGAAGTCAAAAGTAGATTTCAAATTGCAAATTCTACAAATAATTTTCTTTTTTTGTCTTATTTGTGTAACGTTTAATACTCTTAAGGAGGCACACCTGAGACAAAGTTGAAACAATTGAGTAATTATATTCCTTGAACTATGAAAGTGCAAATTTTGAGCAATAAAATGTTCAATTCAATTCAAGTTTATTTGTATAGCGCTTTTTATGATACAAATCGTTGCAAAGCAACTTTACAGAAAATTAAGTTTCTTGTTCTTCTGGGAAGGGACAGAAAAGCCCATGCTGTCCATCTTGATGCCCACTCTTCTTGCTCTGGTTATTTACGTGCCAAGACAATGAGGAAACCAGCCAATGATTGTCCACAGAGCCAGAGAATTGGCAGAGCCTGGCACACACTCGAATGCCCCTACATCCCTCTCCGTCAGATGGGTCCAGCTGTCCAGGATGCTTCTCCACAGCCCTGTTTTAACATGTTAATCTCGTTCTGCCTCATTCTAAAACTGCCGTCCACTGCAGGCTCCGAACTCCCAGCTGTCCCATGCACCCGAAAGTTGATTTATTCCATTTGAACTCATGCAAAATTACACCGCCCGTGTCACCTGAGACCTCATAATATCCAGTGTCCCGCGGCAGCTCCGGACGGAGCAAAGGACGATCAGAGCCCTCCTAGCCGTGGTAACCCGGAGACAATTATTGCCGCTCCGGTGCCTAGACAAACGTAATCACTCACTGTAATTTCATTTGGGCCTTTGGTTGCCATCTGTTTGATCTAACAGGGTTATGAGTTTAATCATTATTAGGCCCTTATCTGAGCAACGACCAATAGTGGGGCGGCATCATGAGTGCCGATAGACTGTCAATGCACTAAATGCATTGTGGTGGGGGGTGGGTGGGTGTGCTTAAGGATCCACTTACAAATCAAATTTGTTCAAGGAAGAGGTAGATGAGACAGAAATACACTTTCTACATCTCCCTGGAAGACCATCTGAGGAGGAGGAAGAGAAAGATCCGAGCATTACTGGCACTTTGGGTCTGAGAGCCATCAATTGTTGTTATATCAGTGACATCTGTTTGATCTAACAGGGTTATGAGTTTAATCATTATTAGACCCTTATCTGAGCAACTACCAATAGTGGGGCATCATGAGTGCTGATAAAATGTCAATGCACTAAATGCATTGTGGTGGGGGGTGGGTGGGTGTGCTTAAGGATCCACTTACAAATCAAATTTGTTCAAGGAAGAGGTAGATGAGACAGAAATACACTTTCTACATCTCCCTGGAAGACCATCTGAGGAGGAGGAAGAGAAAGATCCGAGCATTACTGGCACTTTGGGTCTGAGAGCCATCAATTGTTGTTATATCAGTGACAGCTGTATCGGAAGCAGCTGTATATAAATTATTTGTCAATTAGATAAACATGCAGATTTGCTGAGCAGATTGAGTGTACTTTCTCTCTCTTCAGATTTGCTTCCCATACTTATATTTTACACTAAAAGTAGGTACTTTTGTGATGATGTGAAAGACTGTGTACTGGAATTGAGACATACTATCACTTTATTAAATTACAATTAAATTACATTTTGATACTACAAACCTTTTTGCATACTATTTGCATGTGCATGTTAACATCTACCATCTAAATGTATTACCCTAAATGTCTTATTATTTAAAGGAATAGTTCACCCAAAAATGCTGAAAATATATTCACTCTCAGGCCACCCAACATGTAGATGAGTTTGTTTCTTCATCAGAACAGATTTGGAGAAATTTAGTATTACATCACTTGCTCACCAATGGATCATCTTCAGTGAATGGGTGCCGTCAGAATGAGAGTCCAAACAACTGATAAAAACATCACAATAATCCACAAGTAATACACAACTTTTAATTGGACTCTCATTCTCACGGCACCCATTCGCTACAGAGGATCCATTGGTGAGCAAGTGGTGTAATGCTAAATTTCTCCAAATCTGTTCTGATGAAGCAACTTATCTACATATTGGAAGGTCTGTGAAGTACATTTTCAGCTTTTTTATTTTTAATTTTTTTGGGTGAACTATTCCTTTAACTTAACTTAATTAAAAAATTCTGTGCCAAAACCCCCCCCCAAACAACATGCAAAACATTACTACTAATAATACTATTTAGGATGGATAGTATGCAAATTAGGATGCTCTGTGATTATTTTCTTCTTCTCTTAATCTCTTCGTTTTTCTTTCTTTAAACATTTTTTTTGAATTTTTTTATTTATTTATATATTTACAGAAAAAATATTTAATTAAATATTTACAGAAAAAAAAAATTCTGTAAATATTTTACAAACAGCCTACTGGATGCATTGTTTATTCATTCTCCTGGTATTCCTCCTGTATTCTCCCAAGACTTTTCCAGCTCTGATGAACTCTCGGCTGTAAATTTGTAGCGTGTCGTGTTAAGTACTAATTGTTACTGAATTATTGAGAAGGAGTTGCCCAGCTGAACGTAATGTAATTATCTGCTATGGTTTCAGGGTAAAATCCTGGCAACTAAGGAGGTTGGCTTCTTTCCAAGCGACGCAGTGAAGCCTTGCCCATGTGTGAGTACAATACCTGATTATATTATAATGCTAAAATGATTCTTTATTCTCTGCCAAACAAAAACAAATATGATCAAGGCAAGGTAGACTTGTCCTTGTGTGCATGTTGTTTTCGAATGGTTTAGGTATGCAAGCACCACTTCAGGGCTGTCTTTGAATGACAAATGCAATGCGGGTGATTGTGTGTTTGTTTACTGCAGCACTGGTTTATCTTGTGAATAGCATGTTATCACATTCTGTCCACATGCCCTGCTATTATTTGCTAGATGATTTACAATCATAATTACCTACAAATCATTTTAAGAGAAAAATATGTTAGGTTATCTTTATGAGTGCATTTAGAAAACCAATTGTGGTTGTAAAAAGATACAGTAACTAGGGCAGATGTTAGCACTAATATGAGCTGTGTTGTCCCAGACTTGAGCTGCGAGTTAAAAATACTGAGTTGAGTGAAATTTCAAGAACAAAAGTGCACATATGTGTGCTCTACTTTCTTTATTTAATTCTGTTTCAATCCCTTTTTTTCTTTTTTAGGTACCAAAACCTGTTGACTACTCTTCTCAGCCTTGGTATGATCTTTATTCTCACTACCACAAATTGTATTTATTCATCTACCATCTTTTAATATATATTTTTTATATATATTTTTCTATTTCTATTTTAAAAATAAATATTTTATTATTTTTGTATTATTATAATTATAATATTTTACAAAATACTGTAATTGTTATATACATCCTAATAACTGAGAGAAACTCACAAGTTAATTGAATAATACAGTTTACTGTAATACAATAAATACAAACTTAAATGCATGTGACATTTTGGGTGCAACCACAGATCAGCACTTTTGCCCTGTTAGCATATTAACCCTTATGTGTTGCCCATCAAGCCTTCACGTCTGACCTCTGACCTTTCATTCAGGTTCGCAGGCCCAATGGAGAGGCTTCAGGCAGAGGCCGCGCTGCTCAACAGGAGGAGCAGCACATACCTGGTCCGTCACAGAAGCCGAGAGTTTAACGAATATGCCATCAGCATCAAGTGAGTTAAAAGAGTGCACTTACTGTATCATTTAGAAACAACAAATAATTAGTAAAAAGTAGTCTGAGTGAATTGAGAAAAAGTTTTCCACCCACAACAATATTATTATTAATAATAATAATAATAATAAAAAAGATTTTATTTGTTTTATTCACACACCCAAACAACAATAGAACAACTCTATAGTGTGTGTGTTCAAGCGCAAAGCCGAAAGACAAAAGCTGCCCTGTGAGATGGCTTCTTTCTTCTTTTTTTTAAAAGTGATTCTTGTTTTTAGATGGTCCTGTGCACTGTCTAACTTTTAATTCAAGGACTAATGGAGACGCCCCACCCCTCGCTATCGACCCCTTCTCCCTGCATGAAAAGCTCTTTGCCCCATGCATTACTATAGCAGCTTCCCATAGGGGATAGGCAGCATCGATCGCAATGATCACCAGAAAATTACTCTCATCATTTATTCATGGCCCACAGGTACAACAACGACGTGAAACACATCAAGATCTTAGCAAAGGAGGGATTCTTCTACATTGCAGAAAACAGGAAGTTCAGAAGCATTTTAGTAAGTGCTAATAATTTTTACTAGTTTTTGGCAAAGAATATTATTGAAACGTCTTTATCATAAAAAGTGAAAAGTAAATGTTACACTCATATGTTTTTAAGGTCGGTGGAATCAAGATAAATGTTTGCATTATACCAGCTTATTGCGTTTGGAATCTCTTTGTATCATTTATACAATCCCTTTTGTTTTGTCATCTGTTTGCCTTCTAAAGGGCATTAGGAAATCACGCTGCTTAATGTCTCTATTCTGTAGAAAAATCAAATGTCTTTTGTCAGCTTCTTTTTGAAAGCGCTTTTAGATTCGATCTTGCAAATGCCAGTTAAATAACATTATTGGATTGTGAATGCTGGAGTCATATTGAATCCGTTCATATATTTATTTTTTATTTTCCCTTTTAATGGCTGTAGAAATTTTCCCTTTTATGTGAACTTGACATCATGTTGAGCGTATGTGTGTGTTTAATGCAGGAGCTGATCGAGTATTACAAACATCAAAGAAATTAATATTTTTATTAAGAAGGAATTTATTTTATCAAATGTGACTATAAAGAATTATTACAAAGATTATTACATAGAAATTCTCAGGAATAATAGTTTTTTATTGTAATAATATTTCACAATTACCATTTTATATTCCTTTTTACCAAATAAATGAACATTCTTACTGACTCTTACTGAACTTTTGAACAGTAGTATACATCATTTATATATTTATTTTTTATTAATTTGGATTATTTAAATTTCTTATATTATGTTAATTGTAATTTATTTTAGTGAATTAAAAATGATATATAAAGCACAAATAAAAAGTATGCATTCATGCAGGACTCATTTTCGAGTTAAAAACTGGATTCACATGCTTGCAGTGTTCATGTCACCATATGCATACTTTCACTTGAGTATGTTTCTGGCCAAATTCATCTGTCTATTCATGGCTTTGTGATTGTGAAAGCTCCTTAGACATCTGTGTTGTTTTCCAGTTGTGGGAGAGGAACGAGTTAAAAACCTCAAACGTGGGCTTTTAGTATACCCTGAACTACTGAGCTGTGCTTACAGCTTGATCTGAGAGTTTATGGCGCATTGCAATCAGCGCTTAGATGAGATTTTATTGTAGCTCCATATGTCACAGCGAGGGTCTCGTCGCAATTGGGAAATGTCGGCAGATTGAGAAGCTGGGGGGACGTCACTCAAACACTTCACTGCTTTAACAAAGCAACTCTGACCAAAGAATGGATCTCCCAGTATGCATTGCTGCTGTTTTTCTCCTCTCACCCCCGAGGTCCATTGCCATGCAGCACAGCTTCTTTTCTTTTTTTACATCTCAGAGTCTGCTTATGTGCCAATAAATGCAAATTACATGCAATTGTTTTTGAGACGGCTGCCAGAGGCACAAAAGTCTTTCATGTAAACCTCTGCACGAGACCTTTAAACCACGCTAGTAGACGGGGAACGCCACATACAGAGCAACAGGGGCATCTACTCTAAGTGGTAACTTGAACCTGCGTAGGCAGCATACAGCAAGATAAAAAAAATCAGCATTGTAGAACGGAAACAACCTGTACAGTGTGACCTCCATTGTTCTTGTTGGACACAGAAATAATCGTGGCTTTAATTCGCAGGTGAAGGGAGAACAAATTGCTTGATGCATGCCTCTTCCTTCCTCATATTTATTTATATCCAGGAAGCATTGGAGATGCTGTCAGCTATGATGCGTTTCTACTTGTATTCCATCGAATGTGAAGCGAGGCATGCGGGTTGGATGGCAAATCCATAACCTTGAATATTTACATTATGGATAATGACGTGCTGAAGACAGGAGGCTTGAGCCTAGCAGAGTTTGCAGAATAGTGGGCGGATGGGTGTTTGGTTCTCCTGGAGTGACGTGGGTGGAATCTCAAGTGCCCGTTAGCGGCTCGGACATCACAGGTTGGGTTGTGGTCGGAGACAAGGCCCTTGGAGACACACAGCATGTGCTCCTGCATTAATTCATGAGCTCGGTTAGCCTCAGCTTGGGTTGTCCCTTCAAAACTTTGAACAGATGTTTAAGAAAGACATGAGATGCTTTTGAACCCAGTCTGAGTTGAACCGCTTGCCAGAGAATGAACAGACGAGTGAGAGAAAAAATCGAGAATGAGATGTTGAGAATTTATTTATTTTAAAATCAATAATGAATTTAAAATTGACCCAATTTATATTCTTAATATGTTTTTATATCTTACTGTGGATGTTCCAAAGTTCACATTATTAAAAAAAAAAGTTATTATTTTAAGGGAAGCTTCAACTTTGAATTCATACCTTGTAGGCTATTTTTTTATTTATCACTATTTTGTATTAAATGAAAATTGATCTAGTGGTGCTATTTTTAGTCATTATGCTCCAAAAATGTGGAACCTTTTTACCTATTGAAATTAGACAAACTCCAAACATTCACATGCATAAAAAGTAGGCCAGGAACACATGTGCTAAAACAATGGTTAAGCCTGATGCTCCATACACACTCCTAATCATCAGATCGTTCAATGTTCATTGACGTGTTGTTAGTTACACTGAACGCCGTATTGCTTTGGCTGCCTTCAAACATATTGTGTTGCTGACACGCTTGGGGTCCTTGACGTTCTGGGCCGAGCCGGTCAGATGGAGCATCAGATGGTGAGGGGAACTCGCTTCACTGCCACAGTCGAGCACAGACGCTCCTGGAGTTTTAGTAAACACAAACCTTACTGAAAGTTCTCGGCGGAACGGGACATGAATAAAAATATTCCAGAACTGACATCCCTGTCCTACCACGTAAAACAGGTGGGAATCAGTTAGGCTATGTTCACAATGTCATTCCAGATCTGTATATTTGTGCATCTGATTGGAAGCTGATCTAAATAAATCAATATCCACACTGTGTATCACAACTGTTTAGATCCGATTTGTGTGTCCCATGGTGCTCTTTCATTTTCTGGAATATCTGCATTGGTTTCTATGGCAATGACGTTGTGTTGGTATGCCTATGACCCAAAAAAACAACAACAACAACAACAGCATCATAGCAGTACGGATGTTGTCTTACAGCATTACAATGTGTAGCCACCGCGCTGGACTGCTATGTCTTATGAGGCAGGGGGACAAATGTAGAAGATATTCACACTGTCAGGCTAAATTTGATTATTTCTGTTTCCGAATGGAATCTGATCTAAATAATTGAATGTCCACATTGTGTATCGCAACTGTTTAGATCAGATTTGTATGTACCACGGCGCCGCTTTATTCCCTGCTGCCGTCTCCAACAGTCTCAATATTCAAAGAGGTTTCATGTTATTTTTTTTTAAATAGAGAGATCTTGATTCTCCCACGATTCTGAATAGACAACCAAACAAAATAACTTACTATAAATTTATTAGAGGGTCTGACAAAATGTTAATCGCTACGGTCTATTTATATCTAATTAATTTGAATACATTATTTACAAAAAAAAAAAAAACTTTGAATGAAAGATTCAATGACTCATAAAGACTTCACTTGTGTCATGACAGGATGAATCAGCATTTTTGAACAAATCTCTTGAATGAATAATTCAACGACTCACTCATAAAAACTTCACTTGCTTCATTACCGGATGAATGATTTAATGACAAATGCATTTTTTAACAGTCACACAAATGCATTTTTTAACAGTCACTTGTCGCCTCCTACTGATGTAACAGCGTAATCGATACAATCTTTATTTCAAGCATCAAGTTACTTTCAAATGCTGATTTACTCTATTTTGATATATAAACTATAAACTTTCATTCCAGTAATTCTGTGATTCTGTGAAAGTTTTAATAGACATAGGCCAATTGTTGTCATTTTGGAAGAAGATTGTGTGGTTGTTTGAATCAAGATTGCAATCTTTTAATGATTAATCGTGCAGCTTAATGCTCAATCTTTGATAAATATCATCAGGTTTGGACTGACAGTCTTAACAAGGCTTTAGAATGTGTTGATGCAAGAAGTTAGCATTTGTTTACAATCTGCTCTGTTTGCTTGCAAATGCTGCATTTGAATTAAACATGCTTTTTCTTTTGCTTTTCTTCTCTTTACCCTTGCCGCACCCCTACCTCACTCCGCCTCACCCCACCACGCCCATGCCTCCGCCCACCTCAGCCCCGCTGCTCTGCGGGCTGTCTTTTCTAACTCCCGCTGGCTACAGCTTTGTCCCCCCCTCTACCGCCCCATTCTGGTCAGGTACAGGTACAAGTTTTCTTTCTCCATTGGTGTTGTTTTGTCAAGGTCATAGGAGATCTGAGGCTGCCTTGTTTACACGCCACCCCCTGCGTTTAACCCCGCCTCCCATCTCATTGTGCGTGTCTATTTATAGATCATCTCCCAGCTGCTATCATCTTCTCTAATGCATAGCCGCATGCACCATATGTCCTTTGTCAGCCGACACTGACTGACTGACAATATGACTCATCATTATCTCATTTCAGGCAGTTAGCTTATTAGAGCCGTCATTACGGGCGGTTTTTATCAGGGGAGCTGTGATGAAAAGGAAGGAGTCGGGCTAACTTTGTGACATCTCTCTCTCCCTCCTTTACAAACTTCTCGCTTTGAGCATAACGGCAGCTAACTGGCAGCCAGTTCTCTGTCTGTACAAGTCTTGCTCACTTTAAAACAGCTGAAGAGAAAGCATCCTGGCACTGAGGCGGATCTCATCAACACACGTCTGGCGGAAGGCCTAGCTTCTCTGGCTGCCATTCACAAAGTCCTCAGAGCCTCTGAAGTCCGATAAAACAAAGGCACATTTGAATTCGCCACCATGTATTTTCCTCGGCCCACCGCATTTAGAGAGAACCGCGAAACGAGTCCAACAAAACGTCAGTGAGCTGCTAGAAGGAACAAGATGTGTTTTTGAGGGAAAAGTCGTCTGAAATGTAATTAACCCAGCGGATTATGCTGTTGACACATCTCAAGACATAATCAAAACAGCCACTTCAGCTGTGATTGGACCCGTCCCAGATTCACGAGAATCATTTATTTAAAGTGGTTGTGTTAAGGCAGGCAAACACATGAAGGAGTGCGGTGATTACAAGAGTCCTTAGGGGGACTATACAGCCTGCATCCATCCTCTCTTTGTTTGTCTGGTTAATTTTGTCTGATTCTCGTCTTCCTTTTTGTCCTGTGATGTTTGCTTCTAAATGTTCACTCTTTTTTTCTCATCTCTACAGTGTTTACTCCTAAGGTGATGGGTGTGGCGATCGCCCGCTACGACTTCAGCTCTCGGGACACGCGGGAACTGTCTCTGCAGGAGGGTGATGTGGTGAAGATCTACAGCAAAACTGGAGCCAATGGCTGGTGGAGGGGTGAAGTCAATGGACGGGTAAGTGTGTGTGTAGATATACTAGCTTACTGCATACTGCGTATTATATACTGCATAAATAATATGTGATGCACATTATGCAATGATAGATGTTTCAAACCATGTCCTACGAATTTGTGACAATTTCATGTCATGGAATGTTTAAAAGATTGTGTGGCATCAAGATATGATCATGGAAATAAAAAGAAAGTGCTTTTTTGGATTTTAAAGTAAATTTTGTTAAATAAAAAAAAAAATCTACAAACAAAATAAAAAACCTCCTTATATGTTAGCTAATGTAATACTAGTTTTTTTAAAAAAAGAAATTAATGCTTTTATTCAGCAAGGATGCATTAAATTGATAAAAAGTCAGTAAAGACATTTTATACAGTTTATTGACAGTAAAGACATTTTATAATGTGACAAAATATTTTTATTTCACATAAATGTTGTTCTTTGGACCTTTCTATTTATTAAAGGGGTCATATGATGCGATTTCAAGTTTTCCTTTAAAAAATATCTACAAACAAAATAAAAAACCTCCTTATATGTTAGCTAATGTAATACTAGTTTTAAAAAAAAAAGAAATTAATGCTTTTATTCAGCAAGGATGCATTAAATTGATAAAAAGTCAGTAAAGACATTTTATACAGTTTATTGACAGTAAAGACATTTTATAATGTGACAAAATATTTTTATTTCACATAAATGTTGTTCTTTGGACCTTTCTATTTATTAAAGGGGTCATATGATGCGATTTCAAGTTTTCCTTTCTCTTTGGAGTGTTACAAGCTGTTCGTGAATAGATAAGATCCCTAAAGTTGAAAAAGACTAAAGTCTCAAACCCAAAGAGATATTCTTTATAAAAGTTAAGACTGGCCCACGCCCTCCTAAAACACCTCGTTTAAACACGCCCCCACATGTCTACGTCACGATGTGGGAAGATATGCATAACACCGCCTAAATGTTCAAGCAAAGAAAGAAGGCGTAACTTTATTGTTGCTGCCACCACCGCCGGCATGTTGGCATCACAATATGGTAGGGGCGTAACATTTACGTCACACGCTTGAGGTATTCGGCCAATCACAACGCACTAGATAGCTGGACAATCAGAGCACACCTCGCTTTTCAGACCGATGAGCTTTGTAAAAATCGACGCGTTTCAGAAAGGCGGGGGATAGAGGAGATAATAATGTTTAGAAAATAGGAGAAAATAATGTACAGTATGTGGAAAATAATGTGTTTTTTGAACCTTAAACCGCATAAACACATTTCATTATATCAAATACACAAAATAATGTTCTTTTTAGCGACATCATATGACCCCTTTATATTGTTAATCTATCACAGTTTCCACAAAGTACTAAGCCACACAACATGGACATTTTCTACATGGATGATGACGAGAAATGTTACCTGAGCTCCAAATCAGCATATTAGAATGATTTTTGAAGGATCATGTGACACTGAACACTTGGCTGATGAAAATACAGCTTTGCTATTTCAGGAATAAATTACATTATGAAATATATTAAGATAGAAAATAGTTCTTTTAAATTGTAATAATATTTCAATATATATCAATATATCATATAAATGCAGCCTTTGTGAGCATAGACTTCTTTGAAAAAATATCAAAAATCTTACCAACCTAAAATCATTGAATGCTAATGTTTGTTAAAAATCAAGGCTGTTTTTACTTCCAATTTATTTGTCACAATCAAAACAGAAGGTCAAAGGGAACTCACTGCATTATGGAATACAATATTTCACATTTTGGTACATCTAGTTAATTTCTAAATAGAATTTGCCTTACAATATAAGTTCTAGAGATATTTAATATTTAGTAAACTTATATTTAAATTATTTAATGTATTCAAATATTTAAAAACAAAATAATGTATAATAATACTTGTTTTAAAATATAAAGTGCTTTCAGTGCACAGTCACAGAGCACCTACTTAAATAAATGTGAAAGTACTGTCTGTTTATACTGTATTTTCATAACATACTTCTCTTCTCTGATCTGAGATGATAGACATTCTGCTAAAAATGACAGAAAACTGAAACCGCACAGAAAATGTGGCATCGCTATCGAATTAAGCAGCATTATTTCATACTGAGCCCAAAAGCTTATTTGTACTTAAAGCGCATCGAACTGTCAAATTTTTTTTGAGCCTCTTGAGCCATCTTATAATAGTTTCATCAGGGAGGCTGTAAGTGTAATTTAGTGAATAAAACGTTCAGGGCTGTTTTATGGATGCCAGTAATAGATTTTGGGATCAGTGCTTCGAACAGACGCCTGCCTTCTTCTGAAATGGACAGAACTGCCTTTGTACCTTTTATAACGTCAACCAATAAATCACATCTCTCCCTTGTTAATCTGCATTTTGTCCTAACCAGCTGTGATTGTCAACAGTGTGAAATGATGATTTGATGGATGCTTGGTTTCTATTTTTGTTGCCTAGTGATGGACAGTCCAGCCTACAGTAAAATCACATTGGTCCAACTTCCAGCTTCACATATTTATAGTATTTTGAATCTCAAATGCAGGACTCAACAATAAGAATGGACCCATTCATTGATCTTGTACATCTATTTTTATGCCTTGCAAATGTAAATGTTTGGTTCCTGTGATGTACAGTGTTCTACATTGTTTTTGCAAATTATGCTGACATTATATCATATATTATGCTATTGCTATATATTTTATAAATAATAAAATAACAATAAATGATAAAATAATAATAATTTAAAAGTTTAATAATAATTAAAAAAATAAATGGTAACACTTTACATTAAGGTTCCCTTTTTAAAGTGTTTATAAAGGTGTTCATAAATGACTAATAACTCATTTAAAATGCATTATAAATCATTGATAAGCAGTTGTAAATGCATGAATAAAAATGGTGATTTTAATGCAATACCTGCCAAATAGTGAGCCATTTTTAACTCACATGTTATAAATACTTAATAAATATATTTATTAATACCTATTTCACTCAAAACTAGATTCCTGATTTATTTCATGATGCAGCAAAAATTGACTTTTCTAGTGAGACTGAAGGGTGTTTATGGTTCTCTCATTTACATCTCATGACTCATGTCACTTTTTGTACAATGTTTCTTACCAGCATCTACTCTGTACCTTACCCATGGTACGCTGCAAATGTTCATGATGCCTATCCACAGCAATGATTAGAAACTGATTTATTTTGTTTATCAAGATGAAAATAACAAACTTTATTTTGGGGCAGAAAAAAATCATAAAAGCACAACCATGGCTTGATGAAATATCAATAATGAAAATTTTAATTCCAATATTAGTTACCTCTGAACCTTAATGTAAATAATTTATGAATAAGTTATAAACGTTAATAACCTGTGAAAATGAACCTTAATATAAAGTGGACACCTGTGAACCATTTATTAATGAGTTATAAACGTTAATAACGTCTAAAAGTGAATCTTATTGTAAAGTGAACACCTGTGAACCATTTATTAATATTATTATTATTAAGAGAGAGAGAGAGAGAGAGAGAGTGAGAAAGAGATCGCAGATTGCGTTGCACACACACAGAAACATTCAGGAGCACAGAGGCTTGTTGACAACGCTGCCCCGCGACTTTTATTAATACAATAGCCTAGATACTGGATCACTACATTATATTCCTCTGCAACGAGGAGGTAAAATCGCTGTTTTTTAAGTAACTAAACACAGCTTCATTGTTTGTAGAGAGAGACGCACAGAGGCAGGTAACTCACACAAAACTGTCAATTCAAATAAATGCTATAATTCATTCAAATAAATGTAGTCTTAATTAACTATTCCATCTCTGTGTCTAATCTGAAGTGGACAGAATGCTCGAGCTAATGATCCGTAACTGACAAAAATATTTTTACTCTTCCGGTCAAATATTGCTTTGCAAACATCATTAACAGCTTTAACTTGTCAATGCTGGCAAATGACCATGGTATAAGCGGGATAATGCACGGCTAGCTTTTGATTGGCTGTGATTTTGTCACTGTGAGTTTTGCATTTTTATTTAACTGAGAACAGGAAAAATACTTCACACTTGAAACTTAATAGTCATACAAGTTAACAAAGCAGCAGGACAGAAATTTGTTTTCTGTCCACAGTGCAATCTCATGTTGACACCCAAAAATTTTGCGTGGCACCTACAGTATTTAGGCAGAGATAGACCATAGCAGGAAAAACGCTTAGCTGTTGCTTGACAAGAAGCAACAACACCATTCATTTCTCTCCAACTTCCTCTCTCTCTCCCTCCCTGATTTGGCCAATCAAAGAAAAACAGCTCTGTCATACTTTCCTGCTGGCTATTATTGCTCAGGCCAGTGTGAAGCCACTGGAAGCACTTTAAACAATCCAGCGCCGACCCTCCGACCCTCCTCTTGCAGCAGGCACATCCTCAAGGTTATCAAGGCAATGAAGTGACGCAAATCCTCTGTAATACCCCCTGCAACTTTCTCCTCTAATCACTCATTCCTTCTGTTCTGTCTCATCCACAGGTGGGCTGGTTCCCCTCCACGTACGTAGAAGAAGGCGAGGAGTGAACGGCTCAGCGATTGCTCACAAGAGAAAGGAAACGGAGCGAAAAAAGCTCACGGACTGAGTCAGAAATAGGGCAAGCGATTGGCCGGAGCTCCTGCTCTCTCTGTGTCTTGTTTGTCGATCCTGGAGGACGTGCATGGTGTTTGATAGGTGAAGAACTGTCTCTCAGGGAGCAGATTATCAAACACAACCCCAGACCGCATCTTCAAAGACCCTTCCGGGCGCCTGGATGGAGCGTCACGGTTGAGATGGAACGCACTGAATCAGACTGAGGTTACGCCGTGAGCTATTTCTGTGTGTGCGTGTGGCAGTTTGTCTGCTCATGGGAAAACATGCTTGTCCTGACCTTGCCTGAGTCCTCCTTACCTGCACTATTATTGATGATGCCCCCCTCCCCGTGTCTGCACTGCCCCGGAGGTGTTCTCACACACGGCCCACAATCCCACCCAGCTATTCATCTCCGATTAAGATCATAGCTCCCTGCCATGTAGGCTGCGGTAATTGATTGCTGTCTCTTCCCTGTTTCTATCCTACAAAAATCTCTCTTATTTTCAGATTTCCACTTAAAAGGAAGGACCGGTTGTTTTGTGCGTCACGCACTTATCTCCAGAGATATATTGTGGGCTTGTCATGCCCTGTTTATCTGATTTACATGGTACCACATCGTCAGGGAGACGCGCAGCAAGACGTTGACAGGAAACAAAAGGGATCGTGGTGACAGGCCAGTAAAACAGCTTTTTCAGCAGGGGCCCACGGCCCCAAAAGCATTGTGTCACCCCATCCAGAAAGGATCCTGCTAGATAGCGCAGACAGTGCCTTCTCAATCAACTAATGAGGGGGATTTAAAAACAACTAAAAAACAATGAGTGAGATAATTCTGTTTGAGTGGATCAGAAACCAAATGTCTCTGATGATGTGCAAACTAGTGGTCGACCAATATGGGTCTGTGTCCGATATCAAAATTGCAGGGTGACCAATATTGTGCTAATATAATATTATAATATTACGTATAAAAATGTTGTGATATTGATCATTAAAATTAAATGCTTTTTTCTATTCAAAATCCACTTAAATTAAGGGTAATTGACATAAGACGAATATATAAATACAGAGTTCTGGCATGAAACTCTAGATGGCGCAGTCCGATAGGTCTAACTCAATCTGACCTAATGACATCATCACATGGCACAGCTGATTGGTTCTCTCCTGTATCGGTAGCCAATGAGCTCACAGCAGCGGCGTAGAAGGTCTATTCCGCCAAGACCAAATACATTAATATTGTCATGTGCATTACCATGCCAATCCCTCCGAGAGTTGTCATGACAGAACTTATGTTATTCCAAAGGACGCTGTTATTTGACATATCAGTCAATAAGTTCACCACTAGTGTGCACTGACAAAATTATTGGCCAAGAATCAGAAAAAGATTTCTTCATTGCATCTAAATATGAAAAAAAAAAAAAACATCTTATAAGGCATTGTTCTGTGCTGTTGGATGGGATATTGGCTGTGTTTTCACTTCCTGCTGCATTCCCCTTTGGGACTCATTCTTACAAGATGTTCCAGTGCTATAATGCACGAGATGGATGCTTTACCTGTTTGCAGCTATATGTAGATCTGCGTGCAATCTGAACTGGCTCTAAACTGTGATGAAATGAAGTTTTCAGCGTGTTTAGACTGTGTTGAGGTGACAGACTTTATAATCGGAGAAAGGTCATATCAGGAAACAGTCAAAGCACTGGTTTGTCTCAAATGGTTAGATAAAAGTGCACTCACAAAGGAATATTTTTTTTATTTGTGATCTAAGAAGAGACTTTGACAGGAAAAGACATTCAAAGGAATACAGACAAATGACTGAAAAGCTTCAAGCCAGTAGAGAACAGAAATACACTCCTATGTGCCTATAAAGCAGTCCAATGTAAAGCATCTCTTTTTATCATTTTACTTTTTTTGTCTTCCCAAAGAGCTATATAATGTATTGTAACTTCAGTTGTCATTTGAGCAAGTATTGTTTTTATTATTTTTTCATTCCTGTAAAATGAGAATATATATGTAGAGTAAAGAAGGTAAATATTTATTGATATATATGTCTTTATCTGTTATAATGAATTTCTAATGTGAATAAGGTATTGATCAGTCGTCTCATTGTGTGATATCTCTGTCTCAATGTAGCACAGTGTAACACCACTAAGTGGCAGCAGCATTACCAGCTGCTTCTCTCGTCATTCTCATCTTCATCTTATGAGCTTATAGTTCCTTTTTCCTCCTCATTGCATTTTCCCAGTCATCATAATGCTGCCTTTAAGCAGTGGCAGCTCGTGGGTTTTAAAATAGAGGAGGCACACTAATTGTATTGGTCTGGGATCCCTGCCGATTATTATTATTATTATTATTTGCTTAATCACTTTAAAATGGCTTTTTGGTTGCTTTTAGTCAGAAAACGACATACAAAAAGCAAGATAATATAACTTCACTTACCTGGCCTATCACTTGAAGCAAACATCCATCCCTTCTTAAAAGTCTGTGTTAAAAGAGAGCTGCCTGTTGCGCCATTTAATTAAGCCGACTGCTGTAGCCTATATCCAGCTTAGGCTGTTTTCCCTAAATTTGTATATATACTGTTTGAATGATAGCTTGGTAAATCTGTTGGCAATCAAATATTCAATATCGCTACTCACTTGGTACATTATCAGCGCAGCGGCAGACGTTCAAACTAACATCACGTGATTTACGTCTCTGTGATGATTGGTTGATATCAGAAGGAGGCTAGCCTCCCTTGCAAGGGTTCTTTTCGCAACACTTCCCCCTCCCCTTCTCTATCATTAGCGGTTGTAATTACATCAGCAGATTCGGCACATTCGCGATAGAAAAGCGGCGCTTTCACGTTATTTTATTACAACTGTGAAATTACAAACAAAAAATACACATTCTGAGACATGAACTGAAATGAATTGTGAATTTTATTAACATTAAATCGTCCTCCTCCCATTTTCACCTCAAAATTATGGGGAAGCTGTGCCTCCCCTGCCTCCCCCGACGAGCCGCCACTGCCTTTAAGTGCAGGAACATTTGTATTTATGAATCCAAAAGATGTACTTCCTAACAATGATTACGAAATGAGTTGAAAAAATGTTAGAAAATGAGACCCCCCCCCCCCCCCCCCCAAAAGATCATCCTGACATGATCTAAAGGCAGCATTAGGCCCAATGATATTTAAAGATTCAGTATTTTCCTGTTATGCCATATCAGTTCTTTCCTCTCTGAGAGGAAGCGCTGTTATGTCACAGAGGATTCAAGTAGATTAACTTCTCATTAGGAAAATCACATTTACCAGCTGTTTATGGCACAGCCAGAAATCGCCTCTACCTCTCCCTCCCTTTATTTATAAAGGTTAAAGGTCGGTTTTAGCATTGCTGTTTTTTTTCTTTTGGGCATTGACAGAAAGAGGATTTTTGGTCTGGCACTGAAATCTGGGGCGAAATCCGTGCCCGAGGCAGATTATGGTCTTCTCCTGGGTGCGCGGTTCCCTATACTCTAACTGCGAGCAGTAGAATTGGTTTTCTAAGCTTTCTCACCGGTAATCTGTTCCCACTCCTCTCTCCCCAGAGATGAACCCTGACAGGACGGATTTAACAGGCTTCCACACATTGTTATATATTTATATACGGCAGAGTCTGTTTCA